AAGTCAACAAGTGAACCTCCCGGTACAAGATCAACCCCTGTAAATTTAGATGAGGAGAGTGTTATCTCTAAAAGTACGTCGACCACAAAGTTGAACAAGAATGGGGAGAGTGGACAGCCTTGACGAACACCACTTGAGGTAATCAATTCTGATGACAGTTCGCCATAAGCTCTTACTCTACCAGTTGTGTTCGAGTAGAGAGCCTTTATAAGGTTAATGTACTTCTTTGGTACTCCTTTCAGTGACAAACACTCCCATAGAACCTCACGATCAACAGAGTCGAATGCCGCCCTAAGGTCGAGAAATACTACCATTGTGGGGCGTCTGAACGTGTGTCTGTGTTCTAGAACCTGACGTAGTGTGAATATCTGATCTATACAACCACGTCCAGGTCGAAAACCAGCCTGGTTTTCTCTAACCTGCTCTTCACGAGCTTTAGTTAGGCGTCGAAGTATTATTGAGGCTAATATTTTAGACACTATATTGGTCAAACTGATTCCTCTGTGATTATCACAAGAGGACTTTTGTCCTTTCTTATAGACTGGCACAATCAGTGATTGAGACCAGTCAGATGGGATTACGTCCAGTTCCCAAATTCTACCTAAGACCTCGGTTAATCTCACTGCTAATACTGGACCACCATCATTAAAAATCTCAGGAGTAAACCTGTCACGGCCTGCTGCTCTCCCTCGCTTCAGATTTCCAATGGTTTTTTCAACTTCGTAAAGGGACGGAGGACCTACATTAACTTGCCATTCAGGTTGACTGGAGATCGTGGGAAACCGAAGTGTGGCTGAAGGCCAGTTGAACTGATCCATAAAGTGTTCTGCCCATCGATCCAATCTCCTGGATTGACAATGTATAATATGTCCATCTTTTTCTGAGGTCGTTTCGCTAACGGTCGGGTTCCTAATTCCGGTTTCCCTAACAAGTCTGAACAATTGTCTGCTATTACCTATTGCCGCTGCCTTTTCCATCTCTCTTGCTTTCGCTACCCACCACTGTTCGCGATCATTGCGTAGACTTCTTGTCAGCTTGCGCTTAAGCTGACTCCGCTCTTCGTTATGTTCAGATCCAGATGGAATGCGTTTTCGAGCATCTATCAGTGAGATAGATGCTGTTGAGATCCAGTTTTGCTCTCTAACCTTCTGGTTTACCTTACTAGCAGATATCACTGCTGTTTCCACAGCTTTTCGGATATCATTCCATGCTGCATCGGGGTGGGCATCACATACATGGCTGCCTAACTGTTTTCCTAGTTATTCCTGAAATATACTCTTAGCTTGACTATCATTAAGTAGGGCCCTAAGAGGTTTCCTTGCAGCATCTTTCCTACGTCCAGTAAGACGCAAGCAAATACGCGCTCGCACTAGAGCATGATCTGAATCTAGGCATGTGCTCCAGAATGAGCGACAGTCTTCTATCGAGCCCCTCCATCGGTGGCTGATAGCGATGTGATCTATCTGGGTCCAACGTTGGGACGAATTAGGGCGTCGAAAGGTTAAAATCTGTTTTTGCTTATGCTTAATGTTAGTATTTGCAAGAAAGAGGCGGTTATCTGAGCATAGCTGCAACAGACGGTCGCCATTATCTGTTCTTTGTGCCACGATGCTATTAGATCCACCCAGGTGTCTTTCCCTTTCGCTTAGTTTACCTACTTGAGCATTAAAGTCACCGGCCATTATCAGAGCGCCTAGCTTTTCGAAGAAGGTCAGAAAGCTTTCTGTAAAACTCATCTTTTACATCATCTACGTTGCAGTCAGTGGGAGAATAGGCAGAGACGACGAAGAGGCAACGACGAGTGTCCCTATCTTTCCGGATTCTTACTGTTCCGTTCAGTCGGACAGCGCACAAACGACTGTTTACTGGGATCCACTCTAAGAGAGCTAGTTCTGCCCTAGGACTCAATGCTATACCTACGCCGGCGAGGCCACGGGAAGCAGAATCAGGGCTTCCAGATACACGAAGTGTGAATCGAGTCGGTTCTTTATTTTGGCATGGTGAGGTCAAATGAATGACGCTACTTGGATCCTGTATGCGCGTTTCGGAGACGCAGCACACATCGATGGCGCGAGATTCTAAAGTTTTAGCTAAGGAAGCCTGCTGTCCTATTTGGCAAAGTGTTCGTACGTTAAAAGCTCCTACGTGTAGTTTAGAGCGTGGTTTCAGGAGACCAGGAATGGCGTTCCACGTACTCGAATCGGTTGCTCTAGCGGTGCGAGGTGATAAAGAGACGGGAGGAGGTTTAGTCGGTGAGATAAGAGAGGTATTAGGAGGTGTAGGAAGGAATTGAATGTGACCAACTTGGTCACGTAGCTGTTACGGGTATGAGGGCTGATGTCACTTCCCGGCTGCCCACACCGTGGAAGGGTATTTCTTGAGGAACCCGAAAAGGAAATTGGATTAGTGTTGGTCTTGACGACCTGGGAGCGTGACCGCAGAGCCCAAGGGACAACTGCTTGAGGCCGGTCGCCCACGGCCTTTTCGTGGAAGGTTTTTGACGTGTTAGCTCCGTTCTTCAAAGGGCCTTACCGCCGGAGACGGAAATCCGTGAGGTAAGGTGAGGTGTGACATTTTTAGGGTCGACCTTTTCTAACCCCACCCCTCCTTGTGGGAAGGCAGCATCGCTGTAGATGCTGGTTGTCCGAGGGAAACACCTTACTGCTGTCACACCTCTCTACAGTCAGCAGTACGACTTCGCCCTCAGACCTTGAGTTGCTGCTTTTAGTCTTACCGTTCACCAATCGACCTGCCTGGCATGGTAGAACCTGCAGGAACATATGTTCCAGCCAACATAGCTCGGTTGGGTCATCACGATAGGCAAGCCCGACCACCGCGTCAAGGTAGCAGCTTCGATCGGGAAATAAGCAAAAGTTTCAATAATGACAATTCTTTCGTATTATGGTCTCTAATTATTCTATATCCACATCTTAACTGAGTTTAATCTAGATGTTTCTGACACAAAGTATGTACATTTGTTTCGTTTTAATGAATAACATTATGGTTGTAAATAGTTAAGGTGAATCCATGAAATAAATGAATTCATATTATTCTGATACAATATTTGTTCTTTCTTTAGTCAAGGATATAAACAGGAAAAGTTGTATAAAGTAATAAATAACTTCGAAAATTTAACTTGATCAGCTAATACGAAAGCTGAAGAATCTATATTTCAATGGACCGTTTGTCAATTGAAGATCCCATGAAGTTTCTTATCATAATCAACAATTTTCATCAAATGTTAGCAAAACGTGGTCATTAAGAGTAGAAGTATTTGACTACAGATGCCTTAGAAATATTGCTCGCATCTGCTGCGACCACCGGGTAAGTAATAGTGAGGTTAGAAGCAGGGTAATAGGGAATGATGGTAAATCAGTTGTAAATTTTCATCGAATGAAGAGAATGAGACACATGTTGCGTATATCTGAACACCGATTACCACGACGCGCAATGCTGACTAGTGATGGGGATGGTTGAAATAAAGTTAGATGCGGCCAAACGAAAACGGTTCGGTTTCGGGCAGTATCTCAGTCCTCACATAAACCAATAAAGCGGATATCTATTTGGTGCGTTCTTGTACCAATTTTTGTGTCAGTCAGCTACAACGTAGGAACAGGCACATACATACATCGGTCCAAGTTGCCATACCTCGTTAGCACAAGATGAACACCTGATTCATAGAAGTGGTTAATTCAATGGTGGTAATATGCATAAGAATGATTGCATATAAGGATATAGAAACAATGAGTACGTAGAAAGAAAGTCATGAAGCAATTTTAGTCTCATAGCTTAAGGGAAGATAGAGTGTATACACCGACGACATTGTGACCGATTCTGAGCCATGTCACCACGAGTCTCCAGCTATTGGTTAAGATTGTCACGCGAGCCCCAACCAAGTAGTCTGCATCTACCAACATGGCTCAGACTAGAAGTTGGTGACTTCAAGCACTGATGCCACGTCTTGGTTTGGCCGCCCCTAACCTTCTTCCAACCATCCCCTACACTACTCAGCATTGCACGTCGTGGTAATCGGTGTTCGGGCATACGTAGCACGTGGCCCAACCATTTCAGCCGATGAAGATTCACAACCAAATCAACTGATTTAGCATCATTCCCTAATACCCTGCGTCTAACCTCACTATTACTTACCCGGTGATCCCAGCAGACACCAGCAATATTTCTAAGGCATCTGTGGTCAAATACTAGTAACTTACGAGTGTCTTCTACTCTTAATGGCCATGTTTCGCTGCCGTAAATTAAAACAGAACGGAATGCCGTGCAGTATACTCGTCCTTCTATTGATAGACGGATATTTCGCCTTCGCCATAGGTGACGTAAGTTGGCAAAAGCCAAACGAGCTTTTCGAATCCGTGCTGAGATTTCGTCAGACACCAATCCGTTTGGACTGATCAAACTTCCAAGATAAGTGAAGTTGTCGACGCGTTCGACTACTTCACTCCCTATCCTTAGTTCAGGTGTTGACACAGACCAGTCCTGAAGCAACAACTTGCATTTAGAGGGAGAGAAGCGCATTCCAAACATTCTGGCGTTGTTGCTTATTGCTACCAAAAGACTGCATTTTATCAGCGTCTTCACTAAACAGGACTATATCATCTGCGTATTCTAAGCCGATAAGTGGACCTCCTGGTAGGAGATCAATGCTCGAGAATTCAGTCGATGAGAGCGTTATTCCCATCATTAGGTCTTTGGTAAAGTCGAGGCTAGTATTTCAGATGCTATATTCGTTAAGCTAATCGCTCTATGGTTGTCACAGGATGATTTTGACCCTCTCTTATATATTGGGAAGATAAGTGATTGTGACCAGTCAGATGGGATAACGTCCAACTCCAAGATTTTAGTTAAAATACTCAGAGACAGACTCACTTACACTTGACTAGTAGTTAAAGTCTTTGGGTGTTAGTACCGCAGACGGAATAACGATTTACTAGCCTCTTCATTTTAAATTCCACTATATCTTCATAAATACTTCATTATTTGGTATTTGAAACACATCGTCAGTAATAAATATGTATTATTACTGACAAACAAACACTATGACGCTTTAATCTATTTGGAGATCTGACAGTTTTAAACAAAGGAATTGAGAACGAATAGAATAAACTTCGAACAGTTACTGCTATGAATATTATTAGAACACCCCCCAATCGCATTTGAAGACTGAGATAACGGAATTGATTTATACAAGAAACGTCTAATGCTGTAGCGGAAAAATAAGCGGTTTGTAAAATAAAAGGTGTAACAAAGATTTAAAATTATATAAACGTGAAAGGTTATAAGACACCATAAAAGTGAAGATGATTTGTCATCAGTTTGTAGGTATATACCAGGGAATCAATGCAACTCATTATGTATATGAATGATAAAAAGTGAAACAATGAGAATGACAGTATCATATTTATGTATAATTAATATATATCGTAAACGAAGTCGAATACATGATTATTAACCAAGGCACAATTATCTAGGCAATAAAAAAAGCATAATTTCATAAAAGCCAGAAGGAAAACAGAACGGGACCGATAAACAATATTGTTTTCTTTGCAGGGATTACACATTTTCGTACTCCTTTATTTGGCGACCCAAACAACAAGCTATGACAATGCTTAACAACTGGAAAAAGCACACACCAAATGCAACACAAGCAACAATCACTAGGTTGCGTTTCAAGAATGCTCCAAAGACAGGTACACAGCCCTAAAAATGGAAAAATGATAACCGTTAATATACAAAGATATATATAAACAGTTAATTAATATCACCTCGGTAAAAGTGTAAGATCTATAGCACTATCCAACTAAGTGTAGGTATAAACCCGTCTACAAACGTAGGGATAGCCGAGCCTCGCCGAATTATATGAATATTTGAAGCTGAATTCAAGCATACACAGGACAACAATACAATCCCCGAGAAACACATCCAGCTTCCGCCAAGTCTAGCTTGTAATTTTTTAAAAATTGAGAAGCAAAAACTGTTTACTTCTAATAACTTTAACACGTACTTCTTATGTTCTGCGTGGTTTTCGAGGCTTGATTTCGCATGTCTTATCACATAGCTTTAGAGATCGATATGAACTTACTAGGAAAAATTAACAAATTGATCAAGGAACGTTATGAATGGTATATGGTTTGTGAAATAATAATGTTCTGCAAGTTACGTAAGTGTTTTATATCCAGGAACTTGTTCAAAACTATTGATACAAAACAAATGTCCTAACATGCACTTATCAGACTTACGGAGAGGAAAATCTACCGATAGAATATGGTTACGTACATGTCAACTTATTGCTAATTTTAACGACGATCAGTAAGTCAGCTGAAACGTAGGATCAGTCACAAATATGCATTGGTCCAAGTTGCCATACCTCATTAACACATGAACACCGGATTCATAAAAGTAGTTAATTCAGAGGTGGCAATATATATAAGAATGATTGCACGTAAGGATATAGTACAGGAAGAAAGAATTAAATCGTAGAAAGAAAGATATGGAGCGATTTTTTTCTTTGAGGAAAGACCGACGATGACTACTTTTTACTCAGTGTTCACTCAACATGCATTTTAAACAACTACGACTTACCTCATGATAGACTGTGTTCTCTCCTCTGCATGAAGCTGGAATGTTTCCCTTATAATCTTGAGGACCCTTGGCTCCACAGCAATGGAACTAGAACAGTTAACAGGTACTGTTATGACTTACTGATGATTGAATCAAATCCATGAACTCAGTTATTTCTGGAGTCGGTTTATCCAGAGCACCAGTCATCAATGCGTCGATTTCTGAATCGATTCTATCTTTGTAAACAACTGCAACTATGGCAGCGGCCAATTCAGCAATCAAAAGTATAATGAGGAAGAATGCATACTACAAGCATAAACTTGACTAGGGTAACCTACCATATACAGCATACAGACGTTCTCTTTTATAGCTCCACAACAACCCAAGAAGCTCACTATAAGAATTATTACTCCAACAACAATTATAGCAATGGGTGCTGCCTGCCAGACCTTGTGCAAGTTGTCTCCATATTGGCTGAACTTAACTTCTACATAGGCACCAGCCCCAATCAGTACTAGGGAACACAACTAGAAGTAGGAACAATTAAAATCGGCTTTTTATACCAGACAGATGATATTCAAAACGAATACACAGCTTTTAAGACACCGCATACCAGTACCTAGAGTTGCCATTCTCGATAACGAAACGAAGCAGCTAACTAAAACTCCCTCTTCCTAAACCAAATTTTCATCAAAAGGGCACTTAAACAAATATAGGCAACATGCAGTACGAAATTATCTGACTTATGTATTTTAATAATCAGATTGAAGCGTTAAGTACATGCATTTGAAAATTTGCTTACAAACGGACTGCTCTTGAATCTGGAAGGTCTTCAGTCTTCAGTCCTCAGTCCTCAGTAATAAGGATAGGAGGTCTATCGACCTATATTAATCCTTGCAGTTTGTAATACTGTGGAGGTCCAATCTCATTTTGAATATATTAACAGACGGTGCTGATATTACGTGTTCCGGTAGGGAATTCCAGTAATTCTCTACTCGGTGCGAGAAACGGATCTCCAGACGTAAACTGTTTGATCTCGGTTTTTGAACTTTCTTCGAATGTCCTCTCAAATGATCAGTCCTAGACAAAAGTAAAAGATATTACGTTAATACCAAGTTCATCGTTCAGTATACGATTAGCCAATATTAGATCATCCTGTATTCTATGGTAAGATAATGGAAATAAGTTGGGGTGTCTCAGTCTGTCTTCATAAGATAGGCCAGATAGACCTTGTACCATCTTAGTACCTCGTCGTTGGACTCTTTCCAGCATCTCTGCTTCATATTTGAAACAAGGACTCGCTGCTTGAATCCCGTATTCTGAATGTGGTTGTACATAAATCGGGTATAGTGATCCAAACATTTCATCATCTAAATACTGAAAAGACCTACGAATTGACCATAATACCCTATAGCCTTTTGCAGCAGCAGCCTTACAGTGACTAGTCGTTTTGAGATCATTGCTTAATATAACTCCTAAGTCTTTATAGTTTCTTACTTTGGGTAGCACGAATCCACGTAGTGTATAGTCATACGATTCATCAGAGTTATTTAACTGCATCACTACGCTCTCATTAGGATTTACTTCTAGTGACCACCTATCTAACCATGCCACCAATGAGCTAAGATCGTTCTGTAATACTATCCTATCCGACATACTATGTATGGGTCTCCAAATCTTAATGTCATCAGCGAAGAGTAGAACGGATGATTTTGCTACAGTTGGCAATTCATTTACATAAAGTAAAAAGAGAAGAGGACCTAGGATTGTGCCCTGGGGAACCCCACTTTTAACAGGTATCCACGAGGAGAGAGCCCCATTAACCCTTACCCTTTGTCTCCTGTCATGGAGAAAGTTACTTATCCAATCGACGACTGTGTTATGGATTCCAAAACGTTTCAGTTTGAATTTAAGACCAGAGTGTGAAACCTTATCAAAGGCTTTACTTAGATCTATGAAAATTACATCCACAGGAGCATTCCGATCCTTTGCCGCAGCCCACTCTTCTCGTGCAATGGGAAGATTTGTCAAGCAAGATAGGCCTTTCCGAAAACCATGTTGTGCCCTGGAGAAAAGATTTTGCCCTTCAACATAGTTTATAACAGATATCCGAATGATTTTCTCCATCAGTTTCACAACTGCACTAGTTAAGCTAACGGGTCTATAGTTACTAACTAAATCCCTACTCCCAGCCTTATACACCGGACTTATTATGGCGTCTTTCCAGTCTCTAGGAAGTCTGGACTGTCTCAGAGACATGTCGAATAGTATCGCTAATGGTTCGGCAATTTCATCTGATATGGCTTTCATAATCCTAGGATGAATATCATCGGGACCACTGGACTTATCAGGTTTGAGATGCTGAAGTAGCCTTAAAACAGTATCTTTCTCAATGACTACAGGATCCATCAGCGAGCCGTCACGGTCACGATGAATCATTGGTCGTTCCTCATTACCGATAGAAAACACTTTACTAAAATATTCCGATAAAGCTTCAGCTTTTTCGGCATCATTCTCTGCTAAGATTAACGGATTGTCTCGTATCAAAAGTGATGGAATTCCATCGCTTCTCTTAGTTCGCCTTTTTATATACGAGAATAACCGTTTCGGACTATATCTAGAATCCCTAACCAATTGTTTTTCGTATGATAGTCTAGTCTTGCTTATTAACGCTTTACAGGCATTCCTAATCTTACAATAACTGGATCTGTATTGTTCTAAGCCAGTAGAGATGAACATATTCCAGTGATTCTTCCTTTTTCTAAGGAGTTTCCTGACCGTTTTAGTTATCCATGGTGGACTATTATTCGGTCTTCGCGGTACCAGGTATGGTATGAACGGGGACGTAACTAGTCTAACTTTATCTTTAAATACAGACCATGCTTCTTCAACTGATATGCTAGTATCTACTAACCAATCTGTCTTAGCAGCGCATTCCTGAATGGCTGATATGTTAGCTTTCCATACATTTGGGCGCGGTGTAACCTGATCGTATAACATGTCCCTAGTTCTAAACGCGAATGACAAAACAGTGTGATCGCTGTTTACTAACGATGGAAGAATATTTAAGTCGACAATATCCTCAGTCTCATGAGTGATTACCAAATCCAGCAGAGAAGAACCCTGGTTAACACCAAAACGTGTGGGTTGGGATACATGCTGCACTAGTGCATGCTCCATTATTGTTATCAGTAACCTACTATCAAAGGAGTTTATAGATCCTTCTGTGGTCATATCAGTCCAACTAATATCAGGTGCGTTAAAATCTCCTATTATCAAGCATATGTTATTTGCACTCCAAAAATGAATGTGCTCTAAAATAAAGTCATCAGCTAAGCAGATTGGGCTGCGATAGATGACACCGAGCATAAATGTACTACATCCGATAGCCAACTTGCAGCTAATGACTTCACAAGTACCGCTACCATGGAATTCACTAGCAGAGGAGCAGATATTTATGCTATTGTCTATATATAACAGGACACCACCTCCTTTCCTACATCTATGCCTATCACTCCTGAGGTAATGGTATCCGGATAATTCAGGAGTAATGTCTAAGTTATGGACTAACCAAGTTTCTGTCACTGCTACAATGAGTGGCTTTAACCTGTCCACTAGTGCTTCTAGTTCATAGAACTTATTTCGTAGACTACGAGCGTTGGCATATAAAACTCCTAAGTAGAACGGTCTATCCACACAGGCCTTGGTAGCATTCGCTTCCAAGACCTGACTATCCGAAGACCCACTAGCCGGAGATTTTCCCTACCGTTTTGCAGACTAGTTTCAGGTTCAGCTAGTGCTTCCTTCCTTTTTATTCTATCTTTGAGAGACACGTCAGGTCTAACTCGGATGTCGGAATTCTCGTGACAACGAGCGCTACTTAACAAGAGATCCCGTTGCTTCTCCGATCCTAGGATTACCTTAAGGAGTCTGCATGGACGGGGTTCAACATTGTCCTCGGTCCTCTTGCCTATTCTTACCAACTTTTTAACCTGAACTCCTTTGGAGTTATCTGGTAAAATACTACGAATGTATTCTCCTAGCTTTTCTAAGTCATGCGCGTGTCTAATTTTCGAATCAGGGTCGTTTGACTCCCGCAATTTGCTCACAATAATATTCGATGTTATTAGATTTTTCTTCTCAGTCACGCCAGGATGGGTTTTACTCTTACCTTCAGATTTTGGTAGTGCAATTTGTGGCTCACAATTTGGGTCCACCAGTGAGTTACTAACTACCTGTGTACTGCTTACAGCTTTTTTCTTTTCGTTTCGTTTCCTACGTACCGTTGTCCATTTTTCATCCCTCATAACACTGGGAATATTTGGAACGGTGACTGTTTTATCCAGATCTTCGGTTCCCATTAAAGGTGCATTATTAACAATGTCAGTATCAGGTGGTACTACTCCCCCTGTTAGTGGCAGTGATTGTTTACTTGTTGTGATTATCCCTACTTTTGTGTACTTGTTACATACAAAGCATTCTTGATTCACTTTAACTTGAAGTATTTCCGTTAAGTTTTAAAATCTTGCTAAACTTTGTCTTGTGGTACCACGACCGTTGTTGCTACCTTGACGTGGCGGTCGGGCTTGCCTAACGTGATGAAGCAACCGCGCTATACTGGATGGAACAACCGTTCATCAAGGCCCTACCGTGTCAGACAGGTCGGTTGAAGAGCGGTAAGAATGAAAGCAACAAACCTAAGGTCTGAAGGCGAAGTCGTACTGCAGACTGTACAGATGTGTGACAGCAGTAAGGTGTTGTAGCGGTAAATAAATCCCCAAAATAAATAGCTCTGTAAGTTTTCGACATTGGATGCTGACCAGATTAGTTCTAGTGGACTCATCTAGCTGAAGGCGCTCGGTCATGCATCCGCACCAGATCACGTGTGGTGACGCTGTGCTCAACATCTACTGCAATCGCTAGCCAGATTAAATCTGAGAATTCCGATATATTGGTAATCGCCAAATACCTTCTTCCGATCTCCTCGACTCTGTCTTTTGATTTCTGTTGGTGGGTACGACTTATATTAGAAGGTGTTGGTGGTAAAAGCGTTGTCAAATATTGAATACTTGTGCCATCTTCATTGGTGAGACCAACGTGATCTGGTACACCTAATTGCAACTGTGAGTCTGTTCCTTTTTGGGAATTTTTTATATATTATTGCCTTATTTTTTAATTTTTATACATTGTGATATTTTTTCCCCGTGTCTCAGGATATCTATATATTTGTCCCTTTTATTCTCACACTTAATATTCCCCTATGACCGAACAGACTCCTAAGGTATTTAAGATTAAGACCATGTCCCCATCCTCGTTCCAACTCATGCCCTTCTGACCCGACAATATCGAAGCCAGGTGGAGAAGATTTGTAACTCAGGTGGTGGACTTTTGTTCTCTGAGCTGCACAGAACCAGCTGTGGAACACATATGGAGAAATTCGAAAACTTCACATCTACCTGACGTTTGTGCTGATGATGTCGTTCAGAAGAACGATGTCAGATCAACGACCAAACCATCCAGCTCAGAGAACATAACTCCACCCAAATGGAAGCCTGGTTCTGCTACGCAGAAACCGACTTCAACGAGCACGGCGTGAACGACACACGTGCACAATTCCTCGCAGTAGTCAAGGCACTACCGCAGGAATTCAACAGGTACGTAACACCTAGTATGTTCACTAGTGATGTTTCTGAACCTTACGAAACCTTAAAACGTTCTATTCTTAAACGAGGAGACCTAACCGATTGACAAAGTTTAGATCAACTCTTTAATAATATAGACCTGCAGCACGGTTCTGTGACGGACATGTTGCAACGAA